GCAGCGACTATTTGCAGACGAAATACTTAGGGCAAGACCAAATATTTTTTTTATTAAATTCAGTATAAAAAGACTATATAACCTTAATAAAATACAAACAAAAAAAAATTATTTTATTAATTTCCTTTTGCAAGACCAATTTAAAAAAGAAAAATTAATAAAAAAGGGAAAGAAAAAAGAAATTGAAATTGAGAATTGAAAAACGAGGAGGGAAGAAGGGAAGAAGAAAAAAAAAAAAAATCATCGTCGCCCCGTCGCCGTCGCCCCGGGGGCGGGTGGGGGCCGTCGTCGTCGCCCCGTCGCCGTCGCCCCGTCGTCGTCGCCCCGTCGCCGTCGCCCCGTCGTCGTCGCCCCGTCGCCGTCGCCGTCGCCGTTGAAGTCCACCACCTCCCCGTCGCCGTTGAAGTCCGTTGTCGAAATATCCGCAAAAAATTCGACATGTACAGGTCGAAATATCCGCTTAATATCGACACCATAATGTCGAAAATTTCAATATAATTCGACAGTTAAGGAGTGTCGAATTATTTTGAAATTTTCGACACTACTGTGTCGATATAAAGCGGATATTTCGACACTACTGTGTCGATATAAAGCGGATATTTCGACCTGTACATGTCGAATTTTTTGTCCGTGAAATGAGGTGCGAAAAACGAGAAAAACGATCTCAAAGTAGAATATTTCTTACATCTTTGTGTTCTTCGACCTTAGAATCCTTCATATTTATGTCTTGTGTATCCATAATGTCCTTCTTTTCAAGTTTTAGTAAGATTTGAGGGTTTTATGTGATAAGGGTTTTGGAGAATATGGAAGATTTTTTTGTGGAAAAAAATGTGTAAAATGAAGGTGAAGAAGAAGATGTTGGTGTTTTGTTGGGGGAGTGAGTTCCCTCTTTTTTTTCCTTTTTTTTTATTCTTTTTTTTGTATATTTTTTTTTGGTCTTGCAATAGCAATTAGCTTAATTTAAATTAATAATATCTAAATTATTATTGGGGTTATATTTGTAATTTCCAGTCTTGATCTTAGTAAATTTATTTATATTTTGGTCTTGCATGAAGTAAGGTCTTGAACTTAGTAATTTTCGTCTTGCAAATATCTGCAGCCAAAATAAAATATATGTGATGAGACTATTATGAATGAAAACCATATTAAATTAGTAGTTGACAGAGCAAGACAGGCAGAAAAAATAATGTTCATATTTCAGAGTAGAACCGTACCAACTGTAGGGAATCCACTGGAGTAATTAACCGCCACTCTTTCTGTTTCTTATTGAGAGGCCTTCCCTTTCCTGCTTTTTCTCTATTCACTCTCACATCCGCTAGTCCCCAAGTGCAAGAACGAGCTTCTGTATCGAACGATATAAGCCTAAAAATCCCGTCAAGCTCAGATGATGGAACGGTGTCCGTTATTTCAGTGATGTATTTTACATACAGGTTACGATCTTGTAACCGTTCGAGATCTTCCGGAATTCGAACTACTCTTTTCACACCCGGTGATGAAACCTTAAAAAAAAAATCCATATTAGGTTAGTTTA